TAAGATGGTGATAGAGAAGAGATTGCTAGAGAAGTGGTTAGTATCTATAGGCAATTGAGAAAGTACTTTTACCTCTAGAGTATACATATTCAAAAGTAAGGAACTTAGTGCAAAAATTTAATATGAAAGAAGATTGAAATGAATTGCTTTGGTATAACTCATATTTCTTTGCATAAATATGCTGTATTTTGAAGATTTGAGGCTAAATTATTTTATTTCAAATATGCACATGCACAGATGTTACTGAATTTTTTTTGAAACTTAAAAAGTGTTAATAATAATGCCAGGCGCAGTGTCACACACCTGTAATCCCTTAGCAGGCTAAGACATGAAAATCTCGAGTTCAAAGCCAGCCTCAACAAAAGCAGGGTGCTAAGCAACTCAGTGAGACCCTATCTCAAAATAAAATATAAAATAGGGCTGTTGATGTGGCTCAGTGCCCTCGAGTTCAATCCCCAGAACCCACCCACCCCCCCCCCCCCCCCCGCAAAAAAAGGTGTGTGTGTGTATGTATGTATATGTCTACACACACTGTTAATAATAGTTAAAATTAGGTAGGGAATTAGGAGTCATTGTTTACCTAAATTTAACTAAAAGCTTAAGGCCAGACAGGCAAAAGGCAAAGGAATTTTATACATTCTAAATCATTCTAGGAAAAAAATTGCCCTCTAGAAAAGCCGCATGAAATATATTAAGTAAAAGCCGTTTGTTTCTGAAGACTGACAGAAATATCTAAAAAGCAGTGTGGTATGTAGTATGTGTTGCATTATAAATTACAGGGTCATTGTTTTGAAAATTATAGGCCAGTTTTGACATCTGTTTTTTAGGCAGCTTAATTGTGGGCCAGAAAGAAGATTGGTCATTCTAGAGTGTTTCAAATGGCTCTAATTATTTCCAGACCCAGAGAAATGTTTATGTTGAAGCCACTTACCAGAAAAGGGATGAAAGTAGGAGGGTCTTCATATTTTACCTATAGGACCAATGCCCCTACGTTCCTGTCATAGAGCTGTGTCTTCATAATCTAAAGGCTATAAAGCTAACAAGAGTTAGTTTTAGGATAAGAGGGAAAAGAGAGGGATACAAATGACAAATTATGAGATAATTGACCTTAATTATTTTTATGTAAATCTAGTTGGGAGTCATTACAAAGACAACTTCATTTTTTGAGAGGGTTTAATTATTATATACATTGGCTGTGGTGCTAGTTTTTCTACTTCAGAGATAAGCAATTCTTACAGGGCCAGTAACCTTTATAAAAAATATTCTGCTTCTGAAAAATTAACTATTAAATCCACCCCAAACTCCCATTTATTGAGTGACTACTCTTATACCAAGCACTTTATTATCAAATGTGCAAAAATCCTGAAAATGATTATTGCCAATTTTACAGGTGAGGAAACCAAGGTTTAGAGAGTTTTAGTTATAGCCTGGGTCCCTCGTTTAGTAATTGCTAGTCAGGATGTGATCTGGGTATACTCTGCCATATTCTTTACCCTGCCTGTCATGGCTTGTTGCCTTCTAGTTGACATGTTTCCAGCCTTCCAAGTATAAAGCATGCTTAGGAAAAAATAGATACATATATGTATATACATATGCATATGTATGTAATGTGCATTTTCTATTATTAAACACTTTGAAAATTTAATATGTCACAGATAATTTGGTAGCAGTGTGATTTGGCATTAAACCATACATAGCATTATTGGAACATTACTTTTGCTGGGAGAACACAGATGGCTTGTTCTTTTATATGGCTTATACTTTGACCTGATTTCATTATATCCCACCAAGATTCTTGAACATTGCAGTGCTTCATGAAGATTAGTAGTTTGTATTAAACATATTTCTACAAACTAAACCTCTTGGATACAGTGTTCTAAAAGATAAATTTATTAGATTAGTGGACTAGAGGAAGGAGATTGAAGGGAGGTAGGAGGTATGGGATAAGAGAAGAATAGTGGAATGAATCTTACTTTACTTTGCTATGTTCGTAAGAATATACCACAGTGAACCTCACCATTCTGTATATATCCACAAGATACTAATTTTAAAAACAGTGTAAGTAAGTAGCAGGAAGGGGAGTAGAATAGAGGGAAGGAGAAAGAAAGGGAAAGGGGGAGTACTGGAGACTGAATTAGAACAAATTATATTCCGTGCTTTTATAATTATGTTAAAATCAATCCCAATGTTTTGTATAGCTAAAAAGAACCAATAAAAGTTTTAAAAAGATAAATTTTTAATGTGAGAGAATTTACTGATGTTATGTTGTAGAAAGTTATGATTTCTATGTCAACCTCCCCACCCCACTCCCTAAAAAAAGAAGACTTGAAGGATAAGAGAAAGATCGAGTGAGGAGTGTCAGTTAAAAGACATGAAAAAAGTGACAGATCTGGGAAGGAAAATAAAAACTACTCTTTAACTCTGGCCATCAGTTCCAGTTTCCAGTTTATGTAATTCTGTTTAAAATGAAGAGCTGTAGCTTACACTTATGAATTCAGCATTATTAGCCATGTGCAAACAAACCCCCACCCCTAAGAGTTGTAGTATGAAATAATTGGGAATGCCAGAATGCAGGTATGTCCTGTCTTCATGTATTCTCTATGGGTGTTATAGAAGTTGGTTTGATGTCTCTGTTCTTCATATTTGTACCTCTCTGCTAGTCGAATGTATTTTCTATAATTGATAAGCCAAATATTTAAGATCTGCTTTCTACCTTGTAGGCATTGTGAACCATATATTTTTAGAATCCTTACTGTGTGTCCAGGACTTTACAGATAATGTAGGAATTTTGATTAGAAATCTGATATATACAAATATGCTTTTAATTCTAAATGGAGCAAAAAGAAACTTGCTAATTAAAATTTAAAGGAGTTAATAGTTCCCATTTTTTAAAATAAATACAAAAGTATTACATGAAATCTATGTTATAACATTTATGACAGCACAGAATAGACATAATGTGTAATTATCATATTTTGTATTCTTACATTAGATCTAGTACTAATTTGTGACTCTCAGTTCAACAAATACTTATTCCCCACCTACCCTGTGAGATGCCAATATGCAGGTTTCTGTTGGACTTCAGAGTCTCTTCCTTTGTAATATGCAGTAATGAAGAATAAATAGTCCAGTGTCAAGAAAACTTGTTTCCATTTCTTTTGCAGTGATGAAGAGCGATACAGATACAGGGAATATGCAGAAAGAGGCTACGAGCGTCACAGGGCAAGTCGAGAGAAAGAAGAACGACATAGAGAAAGACGACACAGAGAGAAAGAGGAAACCAGACACAAGTCATCTCGCAGGTAGGGAATTACTTTGAAACCAAGATACAAACTGATTTGACTTCAAAAAGTAAAAGCAGACATTTCCAAATATCCAGTAGAGTACATGTTCCTAACTGGAAGACTGAGGATATTCTGTTGAAATAGTTGTTTCCTCATGAGCTTCAACAAAGATTTTTAAATCTTAACAAAACTACATTTAGTAACCAAAATCCATAATTTACATGGAATAAAAATAATCATGAGAGAGTTGGGTTTATTACATTATCTCATTCTAAGGGGGGGAATTTTCGTTTATGAAACAATTCTTAATAGTAAGTATTATTAATCAAAGTAATGTTTGTTTTAGAGAAAAAAGTTAGGGCTTATAGTTGAAAAAAAATCATTAAATTTTAATACCTATTGTTTGCTGAAAATCAGCCTGATAGCATTGTACTTCCTGTTTTGATAAAGTGCTTCCGTTGCCAATTTCTATTTAGTCTTTCAGAATAAAGTAAATGGGAATCTGGGATATTACCAGTGAAGATGCCCCTATAATGTAATCTTCATGAAAGTCTCATCAAAACTGATTTCTTTGCAAAATGCGTTTAAGAGGGAAAGAAGGGGTTAAATTATCTTAAACCTAGTTCTGAATTATGAATTCACTTTATTTAAATGGGTTGATTTTTGTCACTACTTGTGTTTTTAAACATTTTTAAACACAACACTCTTGTTTTTCTTTAGTAATAGTAGACGTCGCCACGAAAGTGAAGAAGGAGACAGTCACAGGAGACATAAGCACAAAAAGTCTAAAAGAAGCAAAGAAGGAAAAGAAGCTGGCAGTGAGCCTGCCCCCGAACAGGAGAGCACTGAAGCTGCACCTGCGGAGTAGGCACACTTTTCGCCTTTTGTGTATATGAGTGCCAGAAATAGAAACTATAAATCTTGTTATTTTTCTGGATAATGTTTAAGAAATTTACCTTTAATCTTGTTCTGTTAGTATGGAAAGTTTAACTTTTTTCCCAAAATAAACGTGAATTTTTCATGTTAAGTTAAAAATCTTTGTCTTGTAATATTTAAAAAAAATAAAAGACAGCTATGACTTTATATTTAAGAAAGTAATGTGAATGAGTCACTTAGCAGGGAATTTAAAGAGCTTTCTTTAGCTTATGCACATACACAGTAAGTACCTGATGGAGGTCAAGGATCCACCTTGGCCACAGGCTTCTTGTAAATGCATCACCAGTCTCATAAGAGGTCGCACTGCAAAGGCATTAAAAGGCCCCCCTGAGTCTTTAACATTACTGCTATGGCAGTCCTGCTTAAGCATACTAAAGAACTTGTACACTTTTTTTATATTATAATTTTTTATAACAAGTTTTCAGCATTATAAATTTGTGTCCATGGTAAAACTGAACCGGATACTTTTATATCCAAATTAATGAAATCTAGAAAGCATTTGGGTGACCTGTAAAGTAACTTTTCTCTGTGTAGTTTTTAGCAGGCACATATAGATACTCGTCACTGTGACACAAAGTTGAATTGCCTCATGGCCAGCTCTGAGCCAGGGTCAAGCCGGTTTCACCTTTCTTGAGGTGTTTTCCAAGGCTTATTGATAGAGTAGTATGTGGATTTTTTAATACCATTACTAACTATATTGTGAATAAAAATAAACTTCATGATAGGAGATTTAGATTAGTCATTTCTTGTTAAAACTAAGAAAACAAAAGTGAAACAGAATTTTAGGGATAACTTTAGAAGGCATTTATAAATTGTGGTAACAACTTGGTGTTTCAAAGATAGAATTACTGGGATTTTTTAAATGGATGATAATAGAAGTAAACAATAGAATCAAATACAAAGACAACTATGATTTTTGAAAAATATTTTATTTCTCAGTTGATGAAATAAATGTTTCTGAGCAATGCATTTTTTTAAAAAAAATCCTCTGGCTTTTGAATTAAAAATCACCATATATACTCTTTCTAAAACTAAGTATGTACCAGATTTTTTATTTAAATCACTGATTTGAATTCAGTGGGGCATATAAACCATTTCATTTGGACTTTTTAATCAAGTGTAAAAATATAAACTTAAAGTTGTAATGATAAATCTTCCACACTGAATTAAAAACTATTAATAGTGGTTTTTATTTTGAGAATATTCTCTGAGGTGTAACTGGGTTTCATTAGGTCATTTTTTTTTTTTTTTTACATTTTTACAATGTATTCTTTAAATATAAAACTTGATAAATACATTGCTTCAACTTAGCCTATTTGTGATTTTTGTTTTTCTGAGGCCCATCATTGATTTTATAAAAAAGTGCCAGGCCAAGAAACAATAGTGAGGGTAATTCTTCCTTTAAGTTCTTTCAGCATCCTTGCCAAGCAAGCATGTATCATGCCTGATGTACTTCTACCATTGACAGCAAGAAGAATATCACCACATCTAAAACAAAACAAGATAGATTATTAATATTTTAGTCCATTGCTTAAGTTTTTATTGGTCCTAGTTTTTGCTATATCTGTTCATTTTAATTACATATTACTCTAGTTGAGGATCCCCCCACCCCCTCAAATTCTCCAAACTCACTATTCATTCAGCTTGTGTTAGAAGGGATGCTAAAAGTACAGGAAGTTGCAGTACTGGGACCAAGAGGGCGTGTAATTTTGAATTTCTTAGAAATTAAATGCTACACAATGTTTAATTTCTTATACCCCCCCCCCCCACAATAAGTACAGTACCTACATACTTTGTTTCAAATGGGTCCTTACTTTTGCATGTAGAAAACAAAATATATGAATGTAAGTTTTTTGTTAAGTAGTTGTCATTACCTAATTCTTCCATCATTGTATGCTGGTGTTCCTTCAACAATGGATTTGATAAAAAAAGGTTTGTTTCCATTGTATTCTTCATAACCTCCTACAATGCAGAAGCCCAGGCTTCCAGCTGTGTTTCTTCGTAATACAACATCTTTACAGTTATATAAGTACCTGAAATAGAATGTAATCAGTGTATCTGCACAGTTAAAAGTTTTAACTGTTAATAATTGTGATTTCATCTCCCGTTCTTTTTATTGGCATTTTTTTTAGGCCAAGTAGCACTGGAGAGGTCCCATTCAAATTCTCTCATAGCCCAGTCACCTTCATACCTTAAGCCAGCTCTTTGTAATTGATTCTCTGTTTTCCATAGCTGAAGACCCTTAAAAAAATCACGTGTTATGTTCAGTTTTTATGTCTTCTGGGAAAGATAATCATAATTCTGACAAGTTTGAATATGCATTAGTTGAGTATGCCTGAATCCTTATTGATAAACCAAAGTGAAACATTCCTGTGAATATCTTAATTTTATGTACTTGTGGATATAAATTTTTAATGAAGGCAAAGATCCTTTGAGTAAATGATTATTATCAATGAGAAAAATTTAAACTTACACTAATTAATGAAGTTCTGCAATTTTCTTGGTCTTTGAAAAATATTAGTTGATACTAATTTAAGCTCAGAAGCATGCAGGCATGAAAAGAATAGAAATTGAGGCACATTTAAAGATTATAGGAATAAATCATATTGGAGGAAAAACAACCTGGCATAAACTGAATTAGAAGTTATAAAAGGAATGGGAGAAGGAAAGACCACATCTTTTCTGTAAATGACTAGAATCCTCAAAATAGAAAATGAAATTAAAGAGAATCTTTTGCTATTCAGTGCTCATCAGATCAGTGTTCACATATGTTCAGGCCAGGTGCAAACTGTGTTCCAGTTACCATAGAGACAGGTGTGTCAGGAGCTAGAGTTTATTCTGAAATCCCCCTGTCCACCTTGTGTAGCTGTAATTCCAGAACTGGTCTGACAGAAAATTAGCATTTTCATTTTGATAAAAATCAAGGTATGACTGTTTTGTTTATAAACTGTACCTTAAAATATTCATTAACTGTTTTTTGACACCAATAAAAAGTCTCTTGTAAAATATTTAATGAAGTTGGTCATTACATGTGCTACTGACCTTGCTTGTCAATGTAACCTAACACTTCATGATGTTGCTGACTTTCAAAGGCTTTGGGATTGGTTTGATGGATACTTTTAAAATGTGCTAAAATTCAACACCATACCCAATTTTGATTTGTATCCGTTGTCCTACAACATTTACAGTAATTGATTTTGTTCACCAAGATGACAGCAAAAAGTATGAGTGAATTTCATTAAGTGAGAAAGATGCCTTTTTTGTTGTAAAATATTTGCTCTGTTTCATAGTAAACCTTGATATCAGTAGCCAATTCATCCTATAAGAGCTGTGGTCTTTGGGTACACATCTAAAAGAAAAAAATTTTTCTTAGTTGTCAGTGAACCTTTATTATATGGTGCTGAGAATTGAACCCAGTGCCTCACACATGTTAGGCAAGTGCTGTACCACTGAGCCACAACCCCAGCCACTTTGGATACACATATTACATAATGGTCAATGCTCAGTACAAAGCAGATAATCACCTGTTCCCCAAACCCCTAGCATTATACACCAACCTGGGTGGTTGTGTGCAATTTTGGGGAGAAAGGAAGCTCAGAAGCGTGCAGGCATGAAGTGAATGGAAATTGAGGCACACTTAGATTTTAAGGATAATTCATATAGAAGGAAAAACAAATACTTAGATCTGATTCCAAACAAGCTTGGGTGATTTCTCTTCCAAAGTCATGAACTATTATCTGTTTTAACATTTCCTAGTTGTGATTCTTTAATACACACACACACGCACACACAAACAGAGCACTACTTGAAACTGCAGTGTTTTTCATTCTTTTGTCTGCTGCTTATGGTTGGTTGGTTTTTTTTCTTTAAGTATCTCCTTGGAAATTATTTGACCCTTAAGGAATATTTTATTCCATACAAATAAACAACCATCTAAAACTTAACATTTTCAACCTTTTTTAAGTCACAAGTGTGTTTATTTTTCTGGACTCCTTCGAAAGCAGGTGTCTTCTTGGGTCATTTTTCAGATGTTTGACATTTGGATATTGCCATTCTCTAGATACTGGGAGTATATTGGTGAATAACACAGAGATTCTTGCAGCATTCATTCATCTAGGTATCAGGTTAATAAGTTTGTTTTGTTTATAGGGTTTTCATTTGTGTTGTCTAGTACTTACCTTTGTTGTATGTAGCAGCAAGAGCTCAGTATATTAAGTCCTTTCTAGTCAGGCCCTGGTTAGTTGATACTTAAGGGCATTGTTTTCTTAGGTTGCATTATTTTACTTCCCAGTGGAGAAACTGGTAGCTGGGTTTTTTTGTTGTTTGTTTATTTTTTCTTTTTTGTAGTTGAACAGCATGCCTTTATTTTATTTTTATGCAGTGCTGAGGATCAAACCAGTGCCTCACACGTGCTAGGCAAGTATTCTATACTGAGCCACAACCCCAGCCCCTGGCAGCTGTTTTTGATTCAGTGGTCTTTGGGATTAAGCAACTTTACCATCTGAATATAAATATGAGCTTTTTTCCTATTCTGAATTCAGTCTCTAAATTTAGGGTTAAGACATGACATAGTATAAGGAATAACAAGGACTTCGGTCATTTTTTCCCAGTGAGAAAATATGATTACCTCAAATATAAATTCAGCTCTATTGAATAAATTGAGTATGGGGAAGTCTCAAGTGGCTCAGGAAACTCAGGAAGCTACGGTTTTTCTAAATTTTTATTTTCTAAATTTTCTGTATTGTCCTATATGCCAATTTATTCAATAAGACACTTGAGAATACGAGCCTGGGTAATTCATGGTGTTAGAATAGCAGAGATTGGAAAGACAGTGAGTGAATGAAGGATATTTATTTGGAGCTTGCCCTGAGTGCAGGAAATTCAATCTATAACCAGTATTTGCCTTTTAACAAAACAGTTGCCTTTTAACTTTGCTACCCCTGTTTGTTCAGAAAGGTTTTAACTTTTTAGCTTGAATTGCGTGTAACCATTACTAGTAACTCAATGAATTTGAGTGTACAGTACAGAGCCTCCTATTATTGATTAACTTTGTTTATCCCAGCTTCTGAAACAGCTATGTCTCAGCCAGTGGTGAAGGATCACCTTTTGTTTATTTATTTTTATTTCCAGCTCACATTTTTATTATATTTCAATGTAAAAGTATTTCAGTGAATCTAAAACAGAATGAATTACAAAAACAATAGTTCACTTAAAGTGTTTAACAGAGATTTACCCATGATTTCTCAAGTTTTCAAATCTGAATGAAATTAAACACAGGTACACTAAAATAGGTTGGAAATAACCCAGAATTTATATGTTAATATTATTACTATATTGTCATATGCTATATTTTTATTCTTTTTAGGCATACATGACAGTCAAGTGTATTTCGACTACATACATGGAGTATAACTTATTCTAATTAGAATCCCATTCTGTTATGTGCTATATTTACGTTTTTATGGGCGTTCCACATATTGGACAGTGGTACAGAAAGGATTAATATAGATGACCATTGTTACAACTTTTTATTAACTCAGTTACTTTCCAAAAGTTATGAGAGAAATAGTATCCATATTGAATGCCTTTGTGCACCCCTGGAACAAATGTATATAGCATTTTAAGTATGAGATCACCTTATTACTAGGTTGTCTTAAGGATGGTGCTACTTGCAGTGGATAAAGGATATTCAAACTGTATTTTTACTACTGTACTAGAAAAACCAGCCTCAGATGTGTTCATGAGAACAAGAAAAAAATCTAAAGCAATTTTAGTAAGCTTGGATTTTAAAGTTGAATAAAAAAGATAAAGCAGATGATAATTTAACTTCAAGGTTTATCCATTGACGGGGCTGAGGCTGGGGCTCTGCGGTAGAGCGCTCGCCTAGTACATGTGAGGTGCTGGGTGCGATCCTCAGCACTACATAAAAAGTAAGTGAATAAATAAAATAAAGTTATCATGTCCAACTACAACCAAAAAAAATTTAAAAATTTATCCAATGATAGTTGTTATAACAATAAAAAGTTACAGTTTTATCTCTCAGATGATGTGAATTTTAGATTCATGAATTTCCTTTTTATCAGTTTTCTGAAAAATCTATAATTATCAAATCTGTAAGATGTTTGACGATAACATTTTGCAGATGTGCAATATCAAAACTTACCTCACCACCTCATTGATAATTGCTGTTAAATTACATCATGACAATTTATGGAAACTATTCTTCTAAGCTTCTAACTTTCATTTGCCCTTTGATCTTACTGGCCATTGAAAAACATCTTGAATTTCTTCCTTGCAGGAAATATTAAGCTCAGTAAAAATACCAAAGATAACCTGGCAAATAATAAAGTTTGGCTATCCAGTTTACATCTTTAAAAGGTGGAACTAGACTGACTTTCTAGCTTACAGAAAAAAAATAAAGGTTCAATCTCTGGTCCAAATATTTTTGAAAGAACTTTTCTTTCTAACCCTCTTATTCAGAATGTGATAACTGTTCTTTATGATTAGTTTCCTTATTTCATAATAAAGAGAGTAAGTTAGAATCTAATGCATTATTAGCCTTTACAGAGCTCTCGGTTGTTACCATATCCCTGAACACATTGTTCAGGTCAGCTGACATCTTTTCTCATAGCAGAGTTTCTCAAAGGAAGCATTGTATCAAGTACATTCATTCAGGTGCAGGTTCTTTAATCTGGGTAAAGACTTCAGAAAGTTTGCCAATCAAAGCATTTGCACCAGCAAAACATAGTTCTACCTAAAATGTAAACATCCAGTTCACTGACAAAAGTAAACTTTTGATGGTGGTATATGGTTCAGTTAGTTATGTTTATTGCCAAAGAATTTTAAAAAGAATTCTCACATCACAATTATGTTTAAAGTTTACACCCACTGAAAGATTTACCAGCATAGTAATGCCTGTGCACCAATGAAAATGAAAAATATGTTGGAAAAATAAATAAAATAAAATAAATAATAAAATCATAAATAATAAAATAAGTAAAATGAAAAATATGTTGCTGGCTTTATTCTTCTA